AATTTGGTCTGGGCCCGAGGTGGGCTTAATAACCGGCGACTACTGTATAAGGCACTCCAGTTTATAAGGCACACTGCCGTTTCTTGCGAAATTTAAAGGCTTTTAAGTGCACCTTATAGTCCCGCTCGCCAAGCTTTGTGGGTAAAAAAACTTCCTGTTTTCTGTACTCTAGGGGGGGTCGAAAAATGCCCAAATTTATTTGACATTAAGAAGGTTAATAAATCCGCGAAGTTGAAGCACATCTGGCTGAACGTAAGAGATTCGTTACAGTAGGCTGAGGTGACGCATAGACAACAATACCGACAATGTAAGAATGTAACACACGAAGGCATTCAAATTAAAACGAAACAGACGGTGCAGAGTACTCGTTCCAATAAATACCGCTCAACATCGTGCCCGGGCATGTTTACGATCAATGGATGGCTAGGGTTTATCGAGCGACTTATCGTTGGGGATTAAGTTAATAGGTGACACCCTCGCCGCTGCGATTTTCAGGCCCTGGTTCCGTGTAAAAAGAGAACAATTCAGACACCAGTTGGTAGGAAGAGTGAATTCTGTACAGAGGAAGTTGAGAATAGATAAAAGGAAGTTGGCTGTCGGACAAGTGCGCGACCAGTTGCGAGAGGGCCAGTGTGTGTGCGCGTGGCAATCATCACAGCGTTCAAGAGCGGTCAGCCCTGAAGATGATTGGCCAAACGGATTGGGGTCGGTCTACAAGTACGTACATGCTAGCAGCCGAGAGAGGCAAGCGTTGCGTGTAGTTTGCGCCTGTCCAAGAGGCAGGCCGAGAACTGAAATCACATGACCTCATGCGTAGCATAGCATGGGAGGTGAAAGGCACTACAGAGTCCCTACAGACTAATGAGCAGGTTTTTCAACACGGCCTTCGCGACTATCCACGTCACCGTTCCTGGTCAAGTCTTATTTACTTGCGTTTATAGCATGGTACGTGTGTGGCAGGCGACTAAGCACACCTCCAGTCAGACCACTGATTGGTTCTGGGACAGAGGGTAAGGTGGTTGTTACGACACGACTATGGGGCAGCGAGCCATGAAGAACGAAGGGGGGGAGAGTTTTTGCACTCCGCCACACTTTACAAAGCTGTCTCAGCACGAACCGGTTAACCCGCAAGTCACCCACGCACCCCTGGGACAGTGGTGGGCTTTGTGGATCACCATGCAAGAAACACCTATGGTGGTGATGGTTGTTGGTGTCAGAAGGGAAATTGTCCCTTTCGGTGTCATTTGCCTAGAATGCAGGGATAAGCAACCCTCCGATCATCCCTAAGCTGTGCCTCAGCAGAAAACGTCCCCATACAACCTGCCGGCGACTAGATTTACGGCTCCAACATTGTGCAGGATGGCTGAGGGAGGAGCAGAGACCATGAAAAACACCACTACGGATTGTGATCTTTTGACAGGTGATGTGGATGTTTCAGGTGGATGCCCAACAACAGCCGAAGTCGATGCAGGGTGGGTCTGCGACCGTTTTTTTTTTCTTCTTCTTCTTCTTCTTCTTCTTCTTCTTCAAAAAGAGTCTGCGCATATCGCAGCTAGCCTTCACTGAAGACTACTCTATTATCTTCATTTAAGAACATGCCAGATAACACACAGCTGGGTTAAGGGACAGGTTCTGTTCTCCTCAAAGTTCTTATTTGGGACGGTGACGGTGCATAGCCCTCACGTGGATTCGGGTGTAAGTTAGAACTGAACCGGAGGCTATATCCTGAGACAGAAAGCGGTACTCACTTGCCTCAAGAGCCTAACCACAAGGCAGCGGTGGCAAGCAGACCTATTTAAGGGCGGTTCACGCTCGCCATGTCACAGTGCCGTCATTGGGAATTACGGCAGTTGGTTCGCCAGACCTCAGCCTTCCCCGCGCCCTGGTAAAACTGTTGCTTGGCTTAGAACTGAACCGGAGCCTATATCCTGAGACAGAAAGCGCTACCCAATTGAAGTTTGATTGGGTTCATGGAGTGGAACTGGCAACAGGTGGGGTTTCGCATTTGAGCGGCCATTTTTATCTGGCCTCCCTCCACGTGGGAGTTACTTCAGATGAAAAAAGAACATAGTAAATCTGAAGTTATCTACCTTCACGAAACTTGATTGAATGCAATACTGAAGTGCAAACTATTACACTTCCGTCTTTTTGCTGCTTTCGCGCGGACCGAAAATCCCTATCGAGAAGTAGAGGTGGTGGAGTGGCTGTTTTTGTAAACCACTAATGGTGCATAAACGCTGACATTAAAACACCGCGACACTTTACAACGCTCAAGCAATTCGCTGATCGCATTCTTGATGAGGTCGCCCATCCATTCTACACTAAAGTACCTCCCAGTATCAACATCGGCTTGACGCGTCCACACCCGACTGCGGCGCTTCTCCGCATGACTGTCAGCATCTGTTCGCCTGCAGTTCCCGGCCAGGCACCCACCTCACTCCCGGGGACCTTTGGCTCAAACCAGTCGAGGTCGCGGCTTTTTTCCGTTTTCCAAATACTCCCAGTTTGGATTCCGGCGGGGATTCCTGATCCAACTATGGGCTACGACACACACACACCCTGAATTACTGGCCGTGAAATATTCCCGTACTGTGCACCGAAGCTTCAGTCATAGGTCCTGCCGTACATCGGCATATCAGGACTCTGTACTTCCATTCCTATCACGCTACATCCCATGTAAAGAAACGGTAATCCAGAAGCTGAGATTAGACCTGTTTCCATAATAGATGTGGATGTCATGTAAACATCTAGATTTTTGAGTATTTTGTCAATTTATCCCTTGGTCTTAGTGAATAGAGCTTTTTTGCTGATAACTTTGGATGCCACCTTCAACACAAAACGTATTTCTCCCTCTCTTTCAACTCCCTGCTGCATAGCTAGACGGGGGTTATCGAATTAACCACTGTAACTTATCTCACAATCAGAACAGTCTTAATACTGAAGCCAGCTGGAACTGAGGATAAGGAGAGAGGCGTACAGAGCGTCAGTCCTGTTCAATAAGATTCAACAGACATGCAATTTACTCCCTGTACGGAAGCAGAATCCCTGTCGGACAGAGCGGGCAAACTACCGCCTCGATGCCAGGGATGACAGTAGCGAGCGGTTTCAAAACTGGCTAAGTGTCTAATTACGATTCAGGAGCACACAGGTACTTCCAGGTCAGGCGGCGCAGACAATGAAATAAGACACGTAAATTAAGTGAAAACTCACGTTATTAGGCCGCGTACAAGTGGCCGAGATTGGGTCCGCTTCATTTGACTGTCAAAGGGCACCTCAATTATCTGAAAAGAGATAAACAGAATAGAGACTTTGAGTAACCACTTCCCACTAACTTGAGATAGTCAAGGTTAGAATGCCGGCACCGGGATGAAGGCGATAAACTACACGCCGGGTGGTTGGTGTGGCAGGAAAAAAAATGAATTTCTGTATTTCGATGCTCAGTCAGTACAAACAAAAAACGATGTGTTGAGCAGGCGATGTATTTAACTTCTACCACAGGATTGTGCTGGACAGCTGCGGCGGGTGGGATGGATAACGTTCACCGTGTCGGAGTATGGCTGTAGCCAATGCGGCACCAGTCTGGTCTCCCACAATCAGTTCCTCCAGCCTCTGCGCCTTCAGTCAGCACAGAACGGTGCCCTCCGCAAGATCACGAGCTGCTATAAAATGTCGCCTATCGATCACCTTCATGCAGAGGCTTCTGTC